TGAGAAGGCCGTGCAAGAGTAGAGATTTCTTCGGCGTAGCGGCCGCGAGTGCCGTGTGCGATAGAATTGCGAGTATTACCTGTTCCGCGAAGTAGAGAGTGCACCGCCCGCTCGATCGCGTTAGATTTCGAGTCGTTACGATTGTCGCCTTTGCGTTCGCCCTCGCCCGGCCGAGTCACCGCGTGTTTGTATCGTGTAATTGTAAGTCGCGAGAGCGTTCGTTTTGCCATTTTGTGTGTGTCGGATTTATTAGAGTCTCCGCGCATCGTGAAGTAATTTCTGTGTCGAGAGCGTTAACTTTCTTGTGTCGCGAAAAACGAGGTCCATCGTCGATCTCGGGCCACGTGCCCATGCCCGCCGCGGACGCGTGAACCGCGCGCGCTCGCGCGCCGATCGCCGTCATCGCGCCCGCCGTATATCGAACGCCCGGATTGTCTCGGGCAAATACTTGGACTTCAAATTTCCGACAGGAGGACGGAATCGAACGAGAATTGCTCATTGTAAGACGCCATCGCACAGCGAGGGCCGATCCTCGCCCTTGTGCTCGAGGGGACTATTTGAGTGCCGCGGAGTACCTCGCACGGCATTCCGCGGTCCCACCGCGACACTTCGCGTGGTCCTAAAGGAGCTCGTTCGGTTCTCGTCATCCCGGTCCGCTATCCGACACACACCCGTGTCACTTATCTCACCCGCGATCGTCTGTAACTCGTACAGGCATCCTGGCGTGGCGTTAGTCCGCCAAGGATCGGCGCCGGAATACGCGCTCTGTCTCGCGCGTCTCGCGAGTACCACGCGAGGTACTCGCCTCTGTAATTCACTCGCCCTTCGAAGACCATCGAAAATACACGTCTCTTATTTCATAGTAATGTCCGGAGCAATTATTTTTCCTCCTCGTCGCTCTCCTAAGCCTCGCATTTAACGAACCGCCCCTCTACCTTTGTCGGAGCTGGTTAGCCGGCCTTCCGCGCCGTCGTTGCTCGCCCGTCCGGACTTTCGCGAAAAGAGACGATTACTGTAACGTCTGAAATACTTGTATCTCCGATCGGGACGCGAAACTCTGCTCGATCCGGACGTGCGAACTCCCGACAGGATTGCCTCGCACCTATGCGTGCGGTCGCAATACGTAATAAATAAAAACGAGAAATGTAATGGATAGCGTAATGAGGGCTGCAGAAATTAAAAAGGGATTTTGCATCGATAACAAGTAGCAAATTACTTGACAGAAAAATCAAAGATGGGAAGAAATCTCCAACAGCAGCACACTTGGCGCGCCCGTTTTTTATATATAACTTATGGAAATATAATACATGCAATTTATGCTAACAATACATTATTCTTTAATGGTAAATATTTTATGTAAATTAAAAAGATTAAATATACATTCACTAATAACTTTAAAATAATATATATCAACAAAATCTTGTTATGTCTTTAAATTTTATTTAAGATAATAGTAGTAATAATAATAATAATAATATATATGTGTGTATATATATATATATATATATGTGTATGTGAAGAGGCAGTTTTCAGGTCATTTTCTAAGCATATGATTTTAATGGATATTAATATAGTGAAACATGTTTGAAAGACGTTGCCAGTATTAAATTTAATTAAAAATTAATATTATTTAAAATATTTAATAATTCATGTGGAGTGGCAGTTATAAGGACGTCCTTATTACTAAGTAATGCAACAATTTCTTTACTACTTAATGTTTATATTTCTTAGATTTGACACTCACTAATAGTTTCAGATCAATTTCGTGTTATAAAATATAATAATTAATACAAATATGTACCATTTTTCTCAANACCTTAAATCTGCCATTTCATCAAATTATTTTTTTCAGTGAAAA